CGGGGCTTCGGGTCCGCACCCACCCGCGTCTAGGCCGCGGCCCGGGGCTTCATGGGCTTTCGGACTCGGCGGCTCAATCGGGGGTGATTAGTTTATGTTTTTTTTTCCCTGACTGATGAGACGAGAACGCGACCCTGCTGGTTTCTTAGCGCGCTTTGCGGAGGACGCGGAAGGAAGGCCGGCGTGTCAGCTGTCTTCCTGCGGATGTTCGGTGTGGGGAACTGAAACGGAATAGTTAAAATGGCCTTGGGAGGGCGGCAACCAGTAGATGAGACGCCCCTTATTACGAAGCCATCCTCCCACCCCCTTTTCATCTCCTGCTGTCGTTTATCAGCCTTACGGAGGTAGAAATCTTGAACCCTCGAAAAACAGTATTTCGATGTTGATTCCTATTCCTAGCGAAGTACTAGGCACACAGTTGAGAACTAGTATATGATGTTTTAATGGGCTTAGAATTCTTTCAGGGTTTTTTCTTTTATCTTCCTGATGAAAGAGTCGTGTTAGAAGGTATCACCGTGTAGGGCTTTTATACACATCTGTACAGGCCTTACCCGCTTTTATGTAGGCAAATGAGTTAACCGTTGTTGCAATGGATCCCTTTCCGTCCTACAAACTTGGGAGCAGAGCGACGCGCTGGACACGGGGAGGCTGGATCCAGAGATGAGACCCAGTCCTGCTCTCGTGAACGAACAATTAATCAATTGTTAAGAGGTATACACAGCAATGAAATGGTGACGTGGAGAAGATAGTGCGCTTGTAAATAAAAATAGAAGGATAAACATTGGTTGTATGCATAAAAACCTTTTGATGAGTATGGATTGAATTCAAAAGTTAATCTGCCTGATGTGCGAGGAATATTAATTTGAGCCTGGAAAGGCTTCAGAGTGAATTTGTGATTTCAGGAGTTTGCTTTGAAGTAGGACAAAATGCATAGACAAACTTAGAAGTCAAAACATTTTAGAGCTGATAGGGACCTTAAGAGTTACCTAATTGTACCCCTAACCTTAAAAAAAATTGGCATTTAAGGAAGAGTTATTTAATCCCCATCATGGGCCAGTCATTGTGCTAGACCCCCACGAGAAATTTAGTCTCTTGTGGCTTCTAATTTAGTGCCCTATGACTTTGCTGTGCGGAGAATGAATGTTGTAGGTTTGAGGGAAAACTTGACAGATTTGGAGGCTCATTTCCTACCAAAATTTAACAAAAATCACCTATCCCACAAAGCTATTGTGAACACTTATTTCCTTTCTAAATTCAGTTCAGAGTGACAATGAGACTTTCACTTTTATAAATCTCTTTCAGGAGACTCCCTAAACTACAAACCTCCACGAGGTTAGACCCTAAAGAATTTGGCCTAATTCAGAGCATAAAACAAGCTGAATTCCAGTATGTAGAAAAACCAAGCAAAAAATTATATGCAACAATTAATTCAGCAGAATTCATTTATATTTGATTGTGTAATCAATAATAATAATAATGGCTAACATTTGTTGAGCATTTTCCATATGCTGGACTCCATGCTGTGTTTTATGTGGATTATCTTATTTAAAGTAAAATTATATGCATCAGATTTACTTTTCTATTTAAGCTGGCTAAATGTAAAATTCCATCATAGTCCTGGAGTTTAAAGTAGCAACAGCCTTTCCTAATAAAAATCTTTTTTTTAATTTTTATTATTTTTTTTGGTGAGGAAGGTTGGCCCTGGGCTAACATCTGTTGCCAGTCTTCCTGTTTTTGCTGAGGAACATTGAGCCTGAGCTAACATTGGTGCCCATCTTCCTCTATTTTTTATGTGGGATGCTGCCACAGCATGGCTTGATGAGTGGTGTGTAGGTCCACACCTGGGATCCGAACCTGTGAACCCTGGGCCGCTGAACCGAAGGGCACATACTCAACCACTACGCAACTGGGCCGGCCCCTAAAAATCTTTTTAAAAACAATTGCTTTTTTAGTCATAATATACATGAATTCATTGCTGGGTGCTTATGAATTTCTTTCACTTTGTTTTCCTTGCTACTTTTGACCTTTTTTTGTTTTTGAAGGCTTTTCTTTTTTTTTTTTCCTACAGTCAAACAGAATTTGACAAAACTGGTTTTGTTCAACTCTCCCTTTTTCTCCCCCTCCCCAAAGCCCCAGTAAGTAGTTGTATATTCTAGTTGTAAGTCCTTCTAGTTCTTCTATGTGAGCTGCTGCCGCCAGCCACAGCATGGCTACTGACAGGTGGGTGGTGTGGTTCCTCGACTGAGAACTGAACCTGGGCTGCCAAAGCTGATCAAACAGAATTTTAAGCACTAGGCCGTCAGGGCTGGCTCTCAATTCCCTTTTGAGGAACAGCTTTAACTGTGAAATAATCAATAGTGTTCAGCCCTGAAGATAAAGCAAGAAACAATCTTCTAGATAGCAATTATAATATTTTGATGATTCAAGACAAAATAGATGTCTTCCTGTTTTTTATTTTGTGACTAATGTATACACATAAGATGCATTTGAATAATTCAGTGTTATTTTGATTAGAAGTCTACTTCTTAAACATCCTTCAAACCAAATTTCAAGAACGCTAAATTACCTTATTTTCTTTCAATTATTAAATTAACAGATTATTGGGTTCAGCTGTAATTTGAACATTTACAGATTTTTTAAATGTTTTTCTTACACCAGTGATTTTGCTTTTTGTTTTTAAATTGTAAAACATATCTTTATTTTTCTAGTTCAGAACTTCCTGTCTTTTGGTTTGTAACTGAGACTGCCTTGTTTTTGTCTTTTCCTTTGCTTATGAAACATCTGACTACTTTAGTCATATAAATTTATTGAACACCGTTTAATTAGAAAAAAATTTTCTAGTTTATCTTTTTGTTGTTTGATTACTGTTTTAAACATTTAACTAAAGTAAGTTTTTCGTTCTTGACAGTTATATTTCTCTTTTGTAGGCTACTTTAAGAAAAATGGCCTTATCAGCCCAACAGATACCCAGATGGTTCAAATCAATTAAATTGACCAGCCTCGTTACTACTACACAACTGGGACAGCGTTTTCAGGGACCAGGGAAGACATTGTTGCATGGCGTTTCTGCTCAGCCTCGGAGGTCCTCTGACAATTGCTTTCTCCAATGGGGGTTTAAGACTTACAGGACTTCCTCCTTATGGAGTAGTTCCCAGTCTACCAACTGCAGCAGGCAGGGGAATAATTCTGCCCAAAGCACCCTGCTTCCTTCCGTGAGTGAGCAGTCGCAGAAGACACAAAGGATACCCAACTTTGATTCTGAGCTGTCTCTAGAAGGTAATTCTGAACTTTCAAAAAAGTCCCCTTTGCCTCACTTTGGTAGTTTGAACAAGCTACCTGTTTACGTTCTGTTAGCCCATTTGAAGGCACACTTTGTACCAGGCAAGAAAAAGAACAATGTCAGTTCTATTCATTTACTTCTACTGTATCTTTATTTTACTGGCTAAGAAAACAAGTAGGTTAGTATATATAAGATTATTTTATACCTATATGTATAATGTTTGCTTTCTAAATACTTTATTATTTAGATTCTTTAAAAAATTTTTTTTCTGGTGGTAATTAGATTTATTAGGGTATAATTTACGTCAAGTAAAAATCTTCCTTTTTTGATATACAGTTCTGTGAATTTTGACGTAGGCATTTAGTTGTGTAACAACCACCGTAGTCAACAAATAGAACGGTTATATTACCCTCGAAAACTCCCATGTGTCACTTTTTAGTCAGTCCTCTCCCTACTGTGCTTCCTATTCTAGGAATATTCCTATGCAAGGATTATTTCACTGCAAATGAGATAATATTAGGTTAAGTAGAATATGAAAGAAAGAAAGCTGGAGGGGTGGGGGAGGCAGGGAGGAGAGGCTGGCTATAAGAAATGAGAAAGGGTAGTGATTAGAGGCAAAAAATAGAACAGAAAATCACAATCCTGATTAAGGTAGGTTGCAGTTAACGGTGTCTTCCATACTGTGTTTGACTAGAAAAGAAAAAACAAAAAAACAAAACCTCAGAATCAAGGCTGTACTAGAGAAGGTCACTTAGCAAAGGACTACAGGAGGTAGAAACAGAATCATAGATGTCCTATTAGAGGCATATTTGAGAATTACTTGGAGGAGAGGGGATTGGATCAAAACAAAGATGTTTCAGGAAGTGGTGACTTTAACTCATACAACTCAGGCTGGTAGAATCTTGTACTTTTGGCCAAGTTAACAAGCTGTGGTAGACTTGATCTGTTTCTCAAAATGTACTTGAAGGTCAGTTGGTCTTTAGCATTCTTACCCACTGATTAAAAGTGAAGGAAAGGAAAGGAATTTTGTACAGGACTCTTCCTTATGAAATAGAAATTGACCAACAAATTTCTTATCTTGGAGGAACAGTGGTTGATCTCTCTAAATACTCTTTTTTTTTTTTTGTGAGGAAGATCAGCCCTGAGCTAACATCCGTGCTAATCCTCCTCTTTTTGCTGAGGAAGACTGGCCCTGAGCTAACA